AAATATTGATGATAGAAGATCTACTTCAGGGTATTGCAGTCTGGTGGCTGGTAATGTTGTCTCTTGGAGGAGTAAGAAACAATCAGTTGTGGCCCGATCCTCCGCCGAAGCAGAGTATAGAACCATGGCACATGGAGTCTCTGAATTGTTGGGGCTAAGGTCCTTAATGGAAGAACTTGGGATTGATCATGACAAACCCATGATGTTGTACTGTGATAATCAGGTTGCCATCAACATTGCTCACAACCCAGTACAACATGATAGAACCAAATATATTGAGGTTGATAGACACTTTATTCAAGAAAGAGTCTCTTCCGGTGAAGTGTTTCTTCCATTCATTACTTCTAAAGGACAATTGGCAGATTTCCTCACCAAGGGTATTTCCAAGGCAAGGCTTCAACATGACACTAGCAAGCTAGGCATGATTAACATCTATGCTCAGCTTGAGGGGGAGTGTAGAGGAGATGGGCCGAATGGCCCATAGGCTGTCATTCTATGTTATGTTTATGTTTTCCTCTATAATGGGCCTTATTCTAGGCCCATACTCTTATATATTCTGTTTTTGTAATTTCTTGCCCACCCAAAGGCCTCTCTGTAATAATTCAAGGATTAACTTAACAAAATGTTTTAGAGTGTTAGAGGGAGGTTTAGTTCGAACCTCTCACTCTCTAACTCTCATTGCCGCCAGCTCTCTCTCTCTCTCATCTTCTTAATCTTCTCTTGTTTGTTTTCTGGTTTTGCATCTAATCTCAAGCAGCTCTATACTTCAAGAGGACTGTTTTCAACTTACTTAAATGTAACCCTAGGTTTTGTGAAATGGACTAAGTAATACCCACTGGTTTCAATAATCCCTTAAAGTACCCCTTGGTTTTTGAAAAATTGGGCAACACCTTTATCTCTTGACAGAATAGCAAAAATGTCTATTTTTCCCCTATTCCTTCTTTTTTTTAATTTAAAAAACATGACCAAGCACTGGCTTTACCCATTTCAGGGCTCATCTATAAAATTTCCAAAGAGAAATCTACCTACCACAAATCTAAATCTACCATCTAAATCTTTCAGGTTTATAGTCTGTGTCATCATGAGATTTCATGGTAACCTCTCAAGATTGACAAGATTCAAACCTTGAAATGGATCTAAAGTAATCCAAAAATAAAAAATGACTCCACTTGAAATATCTACTGTAACATAGACACTTCTATACACTGGCACATTGGTCTCGACCACCACATGGTTCCAGGTATATTCCTCAAGGCATGAAATCATTGCCTTGAGTGTCATCCTCCTTGCATTGTTCCAATAAACAATGACCCAATCAACGCTTCTGAAGGGTCCATTTGTTTGATCCAGTAGAACAATGCTGACCCCTTTATTTTCTTCCAATGTTGACACTACTCAGCCCACCCTTGACAAACTTGAAAGGAATGAAGGCACCACCAAGAAAAAAGGTGTTTGAGACATAAAGCTGCATTTAGTCTTAAGCCACAATTCCTTTGTAGTCCATGTAACAATTTATGATTTTGCTGTGTCTTAAACCAGGCAGCTTTTTATATAAATTCAGGTGTTACTGAAGCCGGTGGCTTTCTTCTAGCAAAATACTCCACTGAGTATGTGCTCCAAACACAAAATCCTAAAACAATGAACTTCAAGGAAACCCAGACTTTAAGATCAGAGATCAAGTATAGATAGAAATTTAGGTCTTCAATTCACAACGAAACCATGGTGAAGCCATATTTCGCCCCAATAGGGGAATAACAGAAATCCAATAACAGTATCTTCTTTGAGTTGGAATACAGGCACCAACAAGATTGAAGACATGAAGATAGTTGTTAGGCATCAAGAACAATGGCTATTCACCTTTCCCTTTTCTTGTTCTTGCAGGTTCAGCATACTTACACAATCTGTAGACACTTTTTTCTACCTTGTTGTTTGCAATGGCAGAAAACAAATTATGGAATTTATGTGAAACACAGAGAATGAAACAAAGAAATAACAAAAATAGACATAACAGAGAAAAAGAAATAGAAACGAACCCTCTGCAACTTGTAAAATCTGAAATCCCCACTTAAGTGGAAACAGAGCTGAGGACTTGGGATCAAATCCTTGAAAAGTTGTCACCACGGGGTATGGAGATGGAATTTGTTGGCTTGGGGATCAAATCAGCTTGTAAAATGGGAAAAATCACTGAAATCCCCACTTCAGTGAAAGTAAAGCTGAGGGCTTGACCTCAGTGCCACCGGGCAACACATGGATACTTCTGGCAAGGAATACTGTTTTTTGTGACAGTGGATAAAACCATTTTGATAAATAAGGTTGGTGATGAGGGAAAATGGGGCTTTTAAAATATTATTACAGTCACGTGCTATCACAGGTGAACATAATGTAACAGAGTGCTAACGGAAGGCTGCGTTCATCCTATTATCAGAAAAACTGAAGGTACTTTAAGGGATTATTGAAACCATAGGGTATTACTTAATCCATTTCACAAAACCTAGGGGTATTTTAAGTATTTTACCCTATTAATAAACTAAGTGATAAGTGGGAATAAATGTAGTGCATAAATGAGATTCTCAATATATGTAATTATGTACTACATAAAAATTTCCCCTATGAAAGCTAAAAAGAAAGAAAAAAAGGAAAAATATTTGCACAAATGTACACATGATACCATGTAACACAAACAACAATAAAACCATAGAACCATCAACTCTGAAGCTAGATTTAATTACACAGACAACAAATGATCACACCAAAAAGGAGTGACTTGGTACAAATAGAAGGATCTAAAAGAGCAAGGGAAATATCAGAGTAAGTATGGGAAGAAGTGGTAAGGAATGATCTGATGACTTGCAATTTAACAATAAACATGGATCTTGATAGAGCACAATGGAAAAACAGTACTAGCATAGCCAGCCCTAAATAATTAGGACTAACATAGAGTTGAGTTTGAGTTTCTCATTTGTTAATCAAGTAGTTGTTTCAAACCAGGGAAAAAAGTCTTAAACAAAAGTGTGCATTCTTCAATCTCCCTATGCAACAATAGACCTTTCAAAGTTGGGTGCCATACAATTTCCCACTTCAGACAACCTATCCTCCTAATGTCAGACAAAAAAAGAACTGTCCCCATATTTATGGGGAACATCCACAGGAGATTAAATAAAAGAATAGAAGCAATCACCTTCACTAGATCTTGCTGCATGAATAGATAGTAAATGTGTTAGAAATTCCAAAGAACACAATAATATCTGCTCATTAAATTTACAAATTTCCATTATATCTTTCTAATGAAGTGTAAGAAAAGCTTTCAATTCAAAAGTTTTTAGTTATACATGGTTTAAAATGTCCCTAAATTTCCTAATATTTCCACACATTTCCATTTCCATGGGTAGTGACACAAAATTTTACTGGAACCGACATATTCCCCAGTCGACATTTCCACTGACACTAAAAAAAAAAGAATCATGAGATAGAACATTACCTGAGGAAGTGGCAGTACCACAACTATATCAAGTAAAAAGTAGCCTACAAGGTAATGGAGAGCAATTGTCTTCGGATCATCAACTAATTCACCAGCACCCACAACTCTAGATTCAGGAGCAACATAAGCCAACCTAAACTGAAAAAAAAAAGAAGAAAAAATGTTATATATAAGATCTGAATTGTCTCCCACAAAAGTTAATGAATTGAAAAAAGATATTTCTTCATTACACTTCCGTTGACATGGAAAGCTAACTTTAAGACAGATGTACTAGATATGCATTAATACACCAAAAAAAGAATCAGGATCTGCTTGCATACACTTGGGACAAGCTCCTTTTTATCAAAATAATAAAATAAGATATTTACCAACAGAGATAAGATAAAATCATAAAAAAGTATGAAAGGACAAATTATCTTATGCAAAAGGAGTTACATGCAACCCACACGAAAAACTAAAAAAAATGCAAAAGTATCATTGAGACTTTAGAAAACAATCTGACACAACAAAAAACCCTACTGTTCTATGCAAAAGCAATTAGGTACAACCCACAAGAAAAAAAAAACTAAAAAAAAAACTGAAACTACCATCAGGAGCTTAGAAAAAAAAATCTGACAAAACAAAAAAGTTCTATCTAAAGTTATAGATGCAATTTCACCTACCAATATTATTATTTTGTTGTGCTAATACAAATAAAGATAATGAGAATATCATAGCATTCTTGCACTGCAACTCCCAACCAACAAAAATATGCAAGTGAAAAAAAGAAGACAGGCAAAAAAAAAAGTACCCTAGTCCACCTCAGTTTGGTTTTAACCTATAGCCCAGTTACTGGACAGATAGACCAAAGTCATCTGAAATCTGTAGTATTATTGTTTTAGTTGGTGAACCAACAGACCCAATAGATGCTATAAACATAAATCAATCATAATGGAATGGAACTGAATTTCACAATGCAATAAGCAAGGGACCATGGTATTTCAATGACATGGAATCTTATTCTGGATTGGATAGTTTCTCATCCAGAGAGTTTTTTCTGACATTGTCATTAAGGATAATGAAGTGATATTTTTCATACAATTGGATGATAATAAATTTTTGGTCTATTCTTGAGAGTTTTTATTAATGATAATAAAGTGTTTTTTTCTGTTTCTTTCTTCTTTTGAACTTATTGCATACAATTGGGTGAGATGGACATGTTACTTTAAGACACTATTATTGAATTTTTCCTTCATCAATAATTTTTTTTTTATTTACTATGAAAGAATATATGAATATGTGGAAATCAAAACTACTAAGAAAGGATCTTAGAATCTGCTAAAAAATGCAAAGATCTAAGAGAGTAGCTTACCTGAAGTAGCATGTGCAGAAAGTAAACAAAATCAGTCAAACTTCTAAGAGCCACAAGTGTTTTTGTCATGGGCCAATTAAGAACTATGCATTTGTACTCCTAGGAAAAAAATAGAATTAAAATTAATAGAAAAGAAGAGCAAATATAATGTACCTGCACAAATATAACATGGAAAAAAACATGGTCCAAGTTTTCTATTTTATGGGAAAACGATCCTTCAAAAAATGCAAATATTTGCGGGAAACTTTGTAGGAAATTTTGAAATGGCATTACCAATTTGATGGTATTAGAGTCAACAGTACAAGGGCACTTTGGTCATTTGACTATTTTGTCTGGGTTTAAGTTGTGTCCCATACTTAATGAAGGATAGATTTGTCTTTTGCAGTCTAATACAAAGAGTATAAATATAAGGTAGGTTGGATGAGAGGGATTGACTTTTCCTCTTCTCAGACCAAACCCTTTCTTCTTCTCCTCTCTTCTTTCTATTATTCTTCTTCTTTCCTTCTTACTTATCTTAGACCTAGGACTGTACTAGTGTTAATCAAATCACTCACATTGTATCAGAGCATTAGAAAATCAGTCTAAAACTCAGTTTTTTTTCTTTCCTTACACCTGGGAACACCATATCAGAACTTCTTTTTGAATAACTCCCAAACTAATTGGAGGATCGATATGGGACCAAAAAGTGGTCATTTTTCCTTATTGGAGGTAACTATGCCTCCAGTTGCTGTGGTATTGGTCATTGTGGTGGTTTGCTAGAAACTCTCTAATCGATGACTCGAAGAGGGCTGGTGGTGGACAGGTGTGAACAGAATTCTCTAGTCGGCTGATAGTGTAGCGTCTTCTTTCTCTTTTGGACTGGATTTCATCCATGTGGCAGTGTTTATTGATAGGTATGCATATGGACTGTTTATATCTCTGTTTATGTCTGAATATGTGTGGTATGAAAAATCCCCTTACCTCATTTGAAAAACCCTTCCTGAAAGTTCCCATCAATGGGATTAAAGACAAAACCAATATGGGTATGAATTAAGAATCCAACAATAAGATTGGGTAGTGGAAAGCTCATCTTCATCCATCACTTAAACTGGTCCAAACGGAGAGTTGCATGCAGAGTGCAGTGTCGAAGTAGAAAATTTGATCTCTAAGTGGTGATTAGTCAACCACCTCTTTACCCAAACAACTTTTTACCAAGCGTGCTTGGAATTCGAACCCAATCTGGTGATCGGCCAAATGGCTGAAGGCGAAGTGGGGTGGTCCATGTGAAAGCCGATCAGAACAGGGGATTTCTGGTAACTTGGTTTGAGAAAGGACCACCGTCCCGCCGGAAGTTACAACGGCAACGGTGATTTAGTTTGAGCAACAAAAAAAGGGAGATGCTGGGGTGCGAGGAGAACGAGGCGATTGAAGGGATGGGAGATCCATCATATGAATGGCCGAACCCTACAGGAAGGTTGGGTGAAATTTCAAAAATTTCTTTACTCCCATCTGGAAATCCAATTCACAATTTAGAAAATTGCATTTTCAAGGTTCGTTCTTGTAACCAAACCAGACCAAATCTAAAACCAAAATAAGGGAGGGATATACCTGATACGGAACCCACACAAGAATGCTCCACACAACGTAGGTGTTCACGCCCAAAGAGTGTACCAAATCCTTGTTAGACAGTTGTATGCCCTTAGCTCCAATCAGAATGATGTACATTATGAATTTATTGTAAATGAATAAAGTACATATTTGATTCATGTTCCTATGGTGTGTTTCTGTATAATACCCTTAAACTGGACACTTATGAGACT